ACATTACAACCAAATAAAGTCCTACTTGATTCTAGATCAAATGAGCTCGATTAGTTGAGTATTACACTACTGGCAAGCTTATGGTGTGTTGTTTGTGGCATAAGAAATTCTTTCTGGGGGTGAGTGGAATATTACGTATTTGAATTCCTCAGTGTGTGAATTACAATGACCATGATGCAAGTCTATTTTGCTGTGAGTAGGCACGTGATTCATGAAGGGAAGTTAAGTCTGGACCTCTGACTGAGAGTCTGAAAGCCGGTTAGGGACATTACATGGCTAGAGAGAGAGTCCACTCTTGAGGTTAGGATGTTACGCTAAGGTAGTCTATCTATAGGAATTATTGTATAAGGAGTAGGGAAGTGACCCAGTGATGATTAGGCCTATAGAGTGTGGTTTTGTCGCTAGAGGACTAGCAACGGTTTAAGTGTGGGGTGTTGATAGTAGCCTATATTATGCGATGTAGATGCTATTTATGCTCGAAATTAACCATACTTTATTGATGTTTTCAGTGCTAAATGATAACAAAATGCTCTGATTGAGGTTTTCGTGCTTTGCAGGAGCAAGTATTGATTATGAGGACATTGAATAGCTTTTGGAGCTAATTTGGAGCAAGGAAGGCCACTCGGAGGTGAATGCGCGTGAAAGAAGAAGGAGAAAAGAAGAAAATAGCTGAACCCCACTAGCGCGGGCGCGCTCCAGCCGCGCTAGTCCAGGCAGAATGGAACGCAATATGCGCGGCCCAAGCGCGGTCCAAGCGCGGCCGCGCTCGTCAAATCGTTGAACCTTAATTCCAGGGGTAATTTCGGAAGTTCGGGGTTAACTCTCCTTAACATATAAGAAGCCCAAGTCGCCCAAAGAAGGGATATATAGGTTTTTATAGTTTTGTTCAAGGCAAGAAGAGGCAAGAGGCAAGGAGGATAATTCGGCATCGAGTTCTACCTTTCTTCCTTTTGTTTTTATCATTCATGATGAATTTTGTTGTTGTTATTATGAACACAATTATGAATAGCTACTTATTTAGTCTAAGGTTTTGACGGAACCTGTTGAGGGATGAACTTCTTGTTGTGTTAATATAGTTTGCCCAGTTTAATGTGTTCAACTATGTTCTTATTGTAGTTAAATGATAGGATCCTCAATTATCTGTGCCTATTTAATATGTATTACTCGGAAGAGAGTGCATATCTAGGTAGTTGTTGAACAACACCACTCCCAAAGTATATGAGGAATCAATAACCGAGGGTTAAAGGTGGGATTAGGGATAACGAAACCTTGGGTGTGATCTAAGTAAGCTGTAATAAAAGCCAGCTAGCCTAACTCGGGAGAGTGCGTCTAGTAAATTGTCGTAATTACTCGGGAGAGATTTACGGTAGTAAGAGTGCTCATGATCGATAGAGACGATTAGGCAAATCTATACGAAACATAACAGGAAGGGATTTCATCAATAGGAGAAATCACAACCTTAGATCCTTCTCATATTTGTTTACAACTCAGTCATACTTAGCTTTTAGTTTACTTAATTTTATTCAGTTATAGTTAGTGGAAACATAACCAAGTGTTATTCAAAATTTCTGGGAAGTTGATTACGGAAAATTAAGTGAGTCTGACAACAGTAATTGGTAGGTTAATTCCCTATGGGATTCGACTCTGGGCTAAATACCCGGATTATATTTGCAATGACCGCTTTGTCCTTTTTATAAGGCATAGTTGGGCGAGATCAGGGACTTAGTTCTGAGAAAAGTCACCCTGAACACTAAAGAGAAAAACGAGAGGAAACTCCCCAAATTGGGAAGGAACATATCAGGCCCTCGGTGTCATCGAAAAGGGATCATACAAACTTGGCACGATGAACGGCGAAAAATTTCCAAATAATTGGAACATATCACTCCTCAAACGATATCATTGCTAAGGTATGACTTTATCCTTTTTTCATTTGTATTTGATACTAACTTATTGCAGTTGTTCGGTCAAAGACGTCGAGAAATTCTTCAACACAAAGACATCAGGTTTTAAAGCACGCATTACACTCTTTTTCCCTTAGATCGGTTTTTGTCCCAAATAGGTTTTTCCGGCGAGTTTTTAACGAGCCAACAATTATTTGTGCTACCTGGGGACTATTCAACAGTATCCGAGGATTCTTTACAATCAACCTCAAATACTGGGGGGCATCACCCTCGGATGTAATCACTCTCGGATGTTATGATCTCAAGGAAAATACTCTGTATCAGCAAGTGTCGATAGGTAAAATTTTATAAAGGGTCAAACGGTCAAATGAACCGTGTCCTTGTAGATTACTCGAGCCCCGATGGCAAAACTTGTACGCTTGAATGATTTATGGAAAGAAGTATTTTTCCTTACCAGATGTTCCATGCCTTAGTGAAAATTCTACTTTACAATTTTCTACTTTACTTATGATCTATTGAGAAAGCTGGCTCAAGTGCCAATCGCAATTAAAGCTCGAGCTATCAACCCCATACTCGGGGACTGCCGTCCAAAAATCGACATGTTCAAACTTCGAGACCATAAGACCTTGAAAAGGCAATCCTCGGTTTTATAGGCCACGGCCACCCCACTCGGGGACTGACACTTCGAATAAGTTCGAAGTATAATCGAGAAACAAGCCCAAAGGGCAAATCGCAAGTTAAAGGCTACAGCCAAACTAACACGATTTGGAGACGTCCGAATTCCATAATGAAACCGGCCTTCAAATATTTTTATAAAACCGGTTAAAAAAGGATACCCTCTGATGTTATAAACGTCAACACCACACAAGAGGGGGGGTGATTTGTGTGGTACCTAATTTTCGCGTTAGAAGAACCTGGTTCTTCTAAGTGTTCTAACTACAGCAGTTTGCGGAATAATAAATACTGAAAGTAAAGTGCACAGATATTTTTACGTGGAAAACACCTGGCTCAAAAGGTGAAAAAACCACGACCTGCTACTCAGTAGGATTTTCCCAAACTCCACTAAAATCACTGAGCCAAAAACTGCATTTACAAAACTCTTTGTAAACCTAAGGATTAACTCTAATCCCAGTGTAGCACACAGCCTCAACTGTTGCGACACTTTCAAGTTAACTCTAACTTGAATACTCAGAGTACCTAATACAATTGCTTCTAAGAAAGCTGAAAGGTACAATATGAAAACCTACTACAATTGAACTAGACTTAGAATAAACACAATGATGAAACTGGTTCTTCTATCTTAGTTCATGTAGCTTCAGACGTGCACACTTGTATCTCGCATATGTTGCTTGCAAATCAGACTTGATCCTTTTTTCTCTCAAATATGCTTAACTTCTGCTTATGTGCATTACCTGTAAAAGAGAACAACTTGGTTATTTAATGGATTAGCAGTTAGAGTTTGATCGAGACTCCAATGCTTATCCGTAGTCGATTTGAGTCCTTAACCAATACAAACTCCCATCCTTATCCTAGCTTAGGATTGTGTTCTCTTATCATAAGGAGACTGTCCTTCTTAGAACTCAATGCAACCTTTTCGATTCCATTCAGAAGATATTTGCTGCGTAATCTTCAATACATATCTTCCTCACGTGCCTTCCATGTGCAATGGTTATGACTAACTGTGTCTCTCAAGATGGACCAGGTCCTTCCCCGAGTTCAGTTGTCAATCTTCAAAACTTCAATTAAACTTGGGCCAACAAATTCCCCCTTTTTGATGATGACAAACTCTGTGCTTTTAGTGATCAGAGAACCTGTGAAACTTAGCTGAAATATCAACATTTAGAAAATTTTTAGAGAATTTTGAACTTATCATAAAGGCCAGATTTAAGTTAGGTCATAAACATCACTTGTTCAGATAATGAATTTAAGCACAATATCTTCCCCCTTTTGGCATCATCGAAAAGTTGCATGAATAATGTGATCTCAGTAACATAATTAGTACTCATGGCCACTGGGGCAACTGCAAGTGAACACATGCTTTAGTTAATCAGAAATCAACTCAACAAAAATACCTATTAAGATCAGATCTAACAAAAAGCAAGAAAAGCTGCATTCATTGATTAGCAAGGTGTTTCTACAATGCAGTCCACAAGAAGAAAAACAAAATTACCAAACCATGAGCAAAAGAAAATAAACATCTAAAATCCCAAACTGGGTCACGGAGGGGGTCTAGACTGGTGCACACTAGGACAGGATATCTAAGGCTTAGAAGAGCTAGAGGGTTGGGTTTGTAGCAGATTGAGCATCTGTTGAAGCATGCCTTCATTTTTCTTCTTCTCCTTAGCAAGTTCAGCTCTCAACCCATTCCTTTCTCCCTCCAGTTCAGCAACTCTGGCCTGAAGCCTTGCTATCTCAGCATCTTTTGCCCCAACCTCCTAGACTAAGGCTCTGACCTTACTATTCACAGGAGTTTTTGCTGAAGAACCAGGTTCAACTGGAGCTGTACTGAGCATATAATCACAAGCTTGAAGGGTTTTGCTGCCGAAATGCTCTTTGCTCGAAGCCATTTCCCACTTTTTCAGGGGAACATTCAATCTTTCAAGTACAATTGTCAAGATAAATCCATAGGGAATGGCATGAGCTTTTGAGCCATTGAGTACCCTTTCAAGCAGCTTTACAATAAAGGCAGGCCAGTTGATCTGCTTCCCTTCATTCAAGCATTGCATAAGAACCAGATCCATATAATTTGTTGTATGCCTTCTTTCCTGTTTGGGTAGAAGGCATTTGTTGACAAATTCAAAAAGCACTTTGTGGTCTGGCCTCATTTCACTTTGCTGAACTTCCCTGGCCTCAGGTACCTCTTCATCTGTTGTGGTGTCACAAAAGTTCCTTATGATCTGAAGATCAGTAGGCAACCCATCCAGGCAAGGCCACCTCTGCCTTGTATAATCATCATATCCTTCACTAGGGATGTCTAGAATCTTGCCCAGCTTTGCAGCATTGAACTTTACTTTGACACCTTTCACTGTGCTAGTCACCAGCCCATTCTTCACTGTCCCATTTGCCATAAACTCTACAAGTTCATTCCTGGCCAATTTTTCATCCATATGAAGAACCATGTCCTTCCAGCCCTGTGCTTCTAGTAGCTCTAATCCTAGGAGTAGACTTGGGTGGTGATTGTTTGCTTTTCTTGGTTGGTTTGGATGCAGCAGGGGTCTTTTGTGAGGAAGCCTTGCGTTTCTTTAGGCCATAGTTGGCCCCCACTTTCTTCAACAAGTTAGCCAAACTCTCTTCATCAGATGAACCGGGTTCATCTTGTTGTTTACTCAGATTAATCAACCCCTCAGCAGCCTCACCTGAACCACTTCCCCCTGACTTCGAGACTCCTTCTTCCCCACCCCCACATATGGCTAAAGGTTCCTTCTTCTTTTTCTTCCTCATTTTCCCAGAATCAGTCCCACCTACATCTCTAGCAGCCCCTATCAGAACAAATCGATTTTCCTCTCTATCAACTACATCAGAAAAAACATAGCAAGATTTTACCTCTCTTTGGGATTCTTGAGTTTTGGCCTGTTCAGAAGACCCAGGTTCATCTCCTTCACTAGTGGAGATGTAATCATCAGATTCAGAGCTAGAGTTGGTCTCAGCTGCTGGGCCTGCTTTCTTTTGACTGGACTAAAGTTTTTCATTCAAAGTTTTTCTCAAAGAACCTGTAGCTACAGTTTTTCTTGCTAGCATTTTCTGGCGATGGAATCTAGGTTTTGGGTTTTCGACTGGTGGTGTGGAAGATGAGGTGTTGGGTGAAACAGGTGGTGGAGTGCCAGGATTGTCTTGGGGATTTGTCATGGTGAGGAATTTCTGAAAATCCTAAGAGAATTTTGGTGGTGTGAAGAGCTTTGGAGAGTTTCAGAGACGAGAGAGAATTGTCAGGGGTTTTGTGAGGAATTGATGATTATTGAGTGGTTTAGGGTTTTTAAAGAGGGTAATTATTACTCAGAAACTGCAGCCTTTTCAGTAGTCACATAGAGGTCTAATCAATTTAGAGTTCCGGTCTCTTTAGAGATTAATTTGAATTACTAGAATTTAGGAGAAGGTGCCGTTATATTTAGACTTCTAGTTTCAATGAAAATGGTTCAATTGACCCAACGAATAGAATTGTTAGGACGTTTGGTATATCTATGACTCTTGCTCATGATTGATAATTAAATTTTTCTAATTGTGCAAAGAATAGAAACATACCTGAACTTTCTCATGAGCATAATTTGATGAACCAGATTCTTCAAGTGAAACTTCTCTTGATTATGCCTCAAATGTCAAAATAGAAAATTTGTAAGAGATTAGTGAATTGCATAGACACATGTCACAAGAGTATACTATTTACAGTATGAGACTGAGTAGAAATTAGTCTAATATTCACAAAAATTAAGAACTCCTAGCCAAAAATTTTTTTTTATTTTTTATTTTTTATTTTTTTTTTCTTTGTGCTTTCTGAACTGGACCTTTTAGGTGATCTTAATCATCCCTAACTCCAACCTGTTCCTTTCAAAATTTTCTCTACTTAGTGCCTTAGTGAAGATGTCAGCTATTTGTTTATCAGTAGCACAAAATTCTATGGAGATTACCCTTTTTCATAGTTGTCTCTTAAGAAGTGGTGTCTAACATCTATGTGCTTAGTCCTTTTGTGATGAACCGGGTTCTTTGTCATACTTATAGCACTAGTGTTATCACAGAATATTGGTATGCATCCCACTTCTATACCAAAGTCTACTAATTGTTGCTTGATCCACAGTAGTTGAGCACAACAAGAAGCAGCAGCCACATACTCAGCTTCAGCAGTAGATAGGGCTACTGAATTCTATTTCTTGGTGGCCCATGATACAAGACATGAACCAAGAAACTGAGCCATACCTGAAGTGCTTTTTCTATCCACTAGGAAACCTGCATAGTCAGCATCAGCATAACCTACTAGATCAAAATTACTACCTTTAGGATACCATAGGCATAATTCAGTGGTCCCTTTCAGGTATCTCAGTATCCTTTTGACAGCAGTCAAGTGAGACTCTTTTGGATTAGCCTGAAAATGTGCACAAAGTCCTACACTGAAAACAATGTCAGGTCTGCTGGCAGTAAGATACAAGAGTGAACCAATCATACCCCTATACAACTTTTGATCAACTGATGAACCAGGTTCATCAATATCTAATGTAGTGGCAGTTGAAATAGGTGTATCTATTTCTTTAGAGTCCTCCATTTTAAACTTCTTGATTAGTTCCTTTGTATATTTCTGTTGATGAATCATGGTTCCATTTGAGCTTTGTTTTATCTGTAAGCCTAGGAAGAAATTTAGTTCACCCATCATACTCATTTCAAACTCACTTCCAATTAATTTAGCAAATTCCTTGCTCAACCTATCTGTAGTGGCCCCAAATATTATATCATCAACATATATTTGTACAACAAGAAGATCTTTACCTTTTTCTCTTAGGAACAAAGTGCTGTCAATTTTACCTCTTTTGTACCCATGCTCCAGAAGGAATTTTGACAATCTTTCATACCAAGCTCTTGGGGCCTGCTTGAGACCATAGAGAGCTTCTAGCTTGTATACATGATCAAGACATTCTTTACTTTCGAATCCTGGAGGTTGTCTCACAAACACTTCTTCTTTGAGATAGCCATTTAGGAAGGCACTTTTGACATCCATTTGATGAAGAGTGAATTCCATATGTGCTGCAAAGGCTATGAGGAGTCTAATTGCTTCAAGTCTAGCCACTGGAGCAAAAGTCTCATCATAATCAATGCCTTCCTCTTGACTATAGCCTTGAACCACCAACCTTGCCTTATTTCTTGTAACTGTTNTCCTTCATGAGCCACTTGTAAAGTGTCCCAAATCTCCTTGGCAGTAGTACAGCCTTGAATCCTGCTGTACTCATCAGGACCAAGTCCACACACTAACCATTTCTTGGCTTTTGCATTTTTCTCCCATTTCCTTAGATCTTCAGCAGTACAATCTACTCTTGTCTTTGGAACATCCACTCCTTCAGCATTCTTCTTGGTTGTGGCTAAAGGACCATCAGTGATGATATCCCAAAGCTCATAGTCTTCGCCCATTATATGGTCCCTCATTCTGTTTTTCCACCAGGAGTGGTAGAGGCCATTGAAGAGAGGAGGCTTGGCAGTGGATTGCCCTTCCCAGTTCTCAGGTGGTGCACTCATGTTGATCTTTTCCTAAGGTGTTAACCTCTTCAAGGATCACCTGCTCTGATACCAATTGATGTTATAAACGTCAATACCACACAAGAGGGGGGGTGATTTGTGTGGTACCTAATTTCGCGTTAGAAGAACCTGGTTCTTCTAAGTGTTCTAACTACAGCAGTTTGCGGAATAATAAATACTGAAAGTAAAGTGCACAGAGATTTTTACGTGGAAAACACCTGGCTCAAAAGGTGAAAAAACCATGACCTGCTACTCAGTAGGATTTTCCCAAACTCCACTAAAATCACTGAGCCAAAAACTGCATTTACAAAACTCTTTGTAAACCTAAGGATTAACTCTAATCCCAGTGTAGCACACAACCTCAACTGTTGCGACACTTTCAAGTTAACTCTAACTTGAATACTCAGAGTACCTAATACAATTGCTTCTAAGAAAGCTGAAAGGTACAATATGAAAACCTACTACAATTGAACTAGACTTAGAATAAACACAATGATGAAACTGGTTCTTCTATCTTAGTTCATGTAGCTTCAGACGTGCACACTTGTATCTCGCATATGTTGCTTGCAAATCAGACTTGATCCTTTTTTCTCTCAAATATGCTTAACTTCTGCTTATGTGCATTACCTGTAAAAGAGAACAACTTGGTTATTTAATGGATTAGCAGTTAGAGTTTGATCGAGACTCCAATGCTTATCCGTAGTCGATTTGAGTCCTTAACCAATACAAACTCCCATCCTTATCCTAGCTTAGGATTGTGTTCTCTTATCATAAGGAGACTGTCCTTCTTAGAACTCAATGCAACCTTTTCGATTCCATTCAGAAGATATTTGCTGCGTAATCTTCAATACATATCTTCCTCGCGTGCCTTCCATGTGCAATGGTTATGACTAACTGTGTCTCTCAAGATGGACCAGGTCCTTCCCTGAGTTCAGTTGTCAATCTTCAAAACTTCAACTAAACTTGGGCCAACACCCTCGGCAAAGTTACAAAGGGTTTCGATAACGCCAACCCTCAAAACCTTAAGGGGTACCAAATTGTTCGAACTCTTGAACAAACTTATGCTAAGGCATAACAAAGTAAAAGGTTTTCGATAACACTGAATCCTAATAGGTATAGATTTATCTCGTGCTAAGGCATAACAAATTTTTATATGATTAAACTTTTTTAGCCGAAAAGCAAAAAAGCCACTCTTTTTAAGCCGTATCGACCCAATTCAAGAGCCTAAGGGCCATTATATTGTTGAGTTCGAGAATCCACCCTCTCTCAACTGAAACCTAAGGGTTTTTTCTACTCCGAGTTCGAGCAAGTACTCACTCGATTATAGAGACTATACTAATCTGACGTCGACAAAATTTTTGCAAGGCAACGAAGTGAGTCAAAATTCTCACAAGATATAAAATATAAAAGTTATCATAGGGCCAAAAGCAAAACAGAGTTTTCAAAAAACAGAAATTGGACACGAGTCGGAAAGAAAAGGGATCTTTCATATACGCAAAAAATATTTACAAAGAACACTCAGGATCTTACACAAAAAGTCAAAGAAGAAAAAATTCTAAGTGCCTAATCCTCCCCAGGAGCCTCATCTTCATCTTCACCACCCTCAGAACCACTCACGCTCCTAGAATCATCATCGTTGGAAGAGAGCAACGCTTTAGCTTCAGTCTAAAGCTCTTTCGCACTCTCGATCTTGACGGCAAGGTCAAAGACACGAGCATGTATCTCCTCGAGAGTCTCTCTCCGAGTATGGTATTTGGCATGCTCGGCAATACAGAATGCTCGAGCCTAAGCAGCATCAGAAATTTGTTTTTCTCGAGCCTGAGCGGCCTCGGCGTCGGATCGGTAGACAGCAGCAATTGCCTCAGCATCGGCTTTAGCCGTCTCAACCTCGAATTTGGCTTTTGCCAATTCGATGGCCAACCGAGCCTCGAGCTCCTCCGTTTTTCTGGCCTAGGCTAAGCTTTCCTCCTTCATGCTTTCGAGCTGACGTTCAGCCGATGACAGTTGGGCCCGAGTAGTCTCTTTCTCTGAGGCAAGATGGTCCATGTTTTGCTTCCAACCCAAGGTCTCTGCTTCCTTCGTGATGGCCTCCTCACGGAGCTGCTCAATCTTCTCGGCCTTCTGCTAAACCTGTAGGATAGAAGTATTAGTCGTCATCCCCAAACTGATACATCACACTTCTAAAAAAATTTCATTACCTGCTCAATCAGGTCGGTTTGCTCTTTATGGGCTATGACCAAATCGGCTCGAAGGACCTTGATCTCCTCTTCTTTTTGCTCACAAAGAAGTTTGAGGGCATCTCTCTCCCCCGTGAGCCTTTTCATATTGGCCTCACACCTGTTCAGCTCTGCCCGGGACTTAGAAAATGCTTCCCGATGATGTGTCAAGGCCTATGAAGAAATAAAGGAAATCAGGAAAGAGGAAACAAAGGCAAAAGTAGTATTGCTAAAGGGAGCTAAAGGCTTACTTGACTCGGGAGTCAAGGAGCCTCATCGAAGATACTCGATGCGTCACCCGGATAGGAAGTATCTTCGACCCCCGTGAAACAACCACGGAAAAGGTCCTCCCCTTCGTGGGTCGTTCCTACATCGGGGGTCCCCATGGCCTGGGCTTCCTGAATTTTCTCCTCGAAA